CGGCCGTGGTGGGCACGTCCACGAAGGCGCCGTCCGCGCCCTGGCGCGAGCGCAGGAACGCCGCCGCCGCCGAGCGGTTCCAGTTGCCGCCCAGCGACTCGTTCTCGCTCTCCTCGCCCGCCTCCAGCGCCTGCGCATGCGCGCACTCCCCTCAACACACGCAGCCTTGGGGGCTTAACAAACTTCATCTAGTCGAGGACCAGATGTGTGTGTCTACCGCGTGCAGGTGGTGTTGAGTCCGAGTTGGTGTTGACCCTGGAGGCGTGTCCCTCGCTCTCCAATACTAACCGTAAATGTATATGAAGGGAAATATACAAAACGTAACTTTTTCAAATTGTCATGTACCATTAAATTGTTAACTCATTTTTATGTAACTTCAGCAGAGTTAATTTTTGCAGTGCAAAACAGCTCTGCCCTTTGCATTTTTCATACAAACTCTTTTTACAAATTTTAGAAATTGGCATTGTATGTAATGTCGCTGTAAACAAGTAAAATCATAATTGTGTTGAGCTGATCTTGCAACATAGTCACAATACTAAGAATCTTCGTATATTTCTGGAACTTGATATTTATGGAATATTTCTCTCACCCCAAGTCCCCAATGGGTATTTTACGCACTCTGAATTTTTCGTGTAGGTATAGCTACTCACTATATTAATATTGCAACTTTTCTTGACCGATGATTTGGCACAATAAACAGTTGAAAGCAAAAACTCGCAACGAGTTCTGATGACATTTCAAACACATCGTCCCTAGCGAAAAAAACAACAACAAAAAAAACTCTTTTCTGTTGAAGACTTCTATTCGTGATTTTCTCCAAAAAAAATGTAAAGAAACGATCAAAACAAGTGATGATCTGTCACAGGAGATACCTCGAACTCATGAGAAAGTTAAAATGCAAATTATTGAGAAGGTTGCGAAGACGATTGATTCTCCATAGATTTGCGTCATTTCATATAATCTAGTGACCGATTTCGTCAATAATACCCCCACTTTACCCGCATTTCTTCAACCCATCGGCCAAGAAACGTTGCGCAAGTAAAACCCACATTCTCCTGCGGGCCTGCGTGTAAGGAATCACCATGTCACTGCCCGTGTCTGTGTCTGTGGTACCTGCATGGCGAGCGCGGTGCTGTGCAGCGAGCCCACGAAGCTGCCGTCGGGCTGCTGCTGCTGCGCCAGCCCCGCCGCCGGCCGCCGGATGTACTGGTCGAGGTTCCGGTTGCGGTGCTCGCGCACGATGCACTTGAGCGCCAGCAGCACCATCGACAGCGTATCTGCGCACACCACCCTCGCAAGGCTACCGCGTCCCCAACCAACTCTTCGCGGGTGGAACGGTTAGCGTATCGGGCCCAAGTTTGCGGGTTCAATCCCAACCAAAACCGGGGATTTTTAGGGGCGAAAATTCCTTCGTACGCCTTTCTTCGGAGGGGAAGTAAAGCCGACTGTCCCATGTTGTAGATTTACTGCACATATAAGGCCAAGTCTAAAACAAGCCTCTGAGCTAAATTCAAATAGCCTGTTTCGTCACCCGAGTGATATCTTCTTTCTTCTTTGGGTAGTGAATGCGGCGCAGCGGAACTTGTGTGGTCAGACGGAAGAACGGGCCTGGTGGCCCGAGTCTCGCCAAGTAAAATAAGTCATTTCTCAGTGTGGGTGAGTGGCCAATGAGTGGCCTGCAGACTTTGTCTATTCGATGTGTTGTATTTTGAAGGGATTGGTCGATTGTGTCAGAGAGTATTTGGCGCTCATGTGTCTCCTGTCGTGTTGTTGTTGCAGAGCGCACTGGAGCATTTAGCCTGGGCCGGGCGGTAAACGCAAGGAGACCTGCTTGGCGACGCTGTTCACTTTCACTTACGAGGTAAAGTCGGAAGATTTTTAGCTACAAATTGCTTCTGTGATTTTTTTCAACAATGTTGGATTTTGCTATTTTGGATACAGAACTGTGGTAGTAGTAGTAAACTGTAGTTAGTTACTGTAGTTAAAATATACACTTGCTGACTAAAATATTGAAATTTTATTCAATACTTAAAAAAAATTGAAAGTTGAAAAATTAAAATATTTTTTTATACGTCGTATTTTAATGGAAATGAAGCTCGGTTAAAACAGTAGAAATACTTTGCTTTATTTAGTATCTTCGAACCTTTTATTTATAATGATTTAATATTTATATTAGAATTTTAATTTTATTGTTATAATGACTGGGAGTAACGAAAGACATTTTTATTTTCACGTATACGCACGTATCTACGGTGCACTATTTGTAGTAGTTACGTAACGCTGAGTAAAAAATAAAAAAAAATAAAAAAGGCGATTTGTTGGCAGAAAAACGCGAATTATGGGGCTCTGATTCAGAAAAGTGGATAAATCATATAATTTGTAGTAAATTACTCCCTCTCTCACACGGTGTAGCCAGAATACACGTTTTGTGGGTCTTTGATTCCGAAAAATCGATTAACGGCAAAACGTCCGTCCGTTATGAACAACGTTAGCGGGTAAATCATTCAGCGGCTTTTATCCAAAAAATATATTCTTGTATAGAATTGACAAATGTTGTGGCCCTTGAATAAGAAATGAAATTTGGTGCCGATATTTCAATTCTGGGTGATACTTTCCATGAAGCAACAGGAATGTTTTCAAAATTTTCTCAGAAATGGCTCTGCATTTTTTCTTCAAATTTCTGGTAAGAATATACTCAAAGTGGCATATCTTCAATTGTCACTGTTAACTCTAAATTTTCGATAATTTTCAAAAGTTCGAATTTTTTTGGCGTCTTGTCGTGT